ACAAACAAATATAGACGTTTAGAGAAAAATCAATACTTAAGAGGCCAAAAAAAATTTATTGTCTTGCAATTGAAGCTAAAGTTTATTTTTTTTATTTATTTATTTTTTTTATTTTTTTTGTGATTAGGCGTTCAAAGTGATTTACGTGTTTTTGAATTATTAGTGTTTGGTATACTTACCTTTTTTTTATGTCTTGCAATTGAAGCTATTATGTTTTTTGAGGATGGGCCAATATTCTATTCAAATCCTAATAAGTAAAACTTTCAGTAAACCAGTTCTGCATTATTGAGGGATTGAGGATCCTTTTTTCAATCTTTAACCAGTAACGCAGTCCATGATTAGTGTGGGACTGAGGTTTCTTTTTCTCTTTTGGGATTCAACTATGCCCGTATATTATTTATTGTCTACTTTCATGTTCCTTTTTATAATAATATGACACGTCAATTAAAATTATTTTTGTTTCATATTAAATAAAATTAATTCACGTGACATGATTAGGGGACAATGAAAAAAAAAAAAAGGGTGGTGGAATGCATATTAAAACATTGCCAATCAAAATAAAGCAAAGATGGTATCGTCAATTAAGGCATTGAATCTAGGCTGCGGTTCAATCTTGTTCTCAACATTATTGGACTATCTTTCTCCTTGAGAGGTGTCAAAACGGGTTGTGCCCTTTGTTTGTGCTTAGTAGACCTACATGGCCACGATACAGACACGATTGTTGAACGTGCACGGCATGATGTGCCTTTCGGGTGGAAAGAGCACTCTAAGGAACCGACAAGGGTAAGACAAGCGCTACGACAATTATATGAAATTGTTGCTGTTTTATCATGCATATCTTACAGTTTTTTTTAATGAGATTCATAAGGTACATTTTTTTTTCCTATCAAGATTTTATCCCATTTTATTTTTTGCTTGATAAGATTCTCAGTGTCCTACTTTTTTTTACCCTTTTAATATTATGCTTTGTTGTTTTTTTTTTTTTTTGGTTAAACGTTAATGTTTTTAAACTGGTCAAAATTTTTTTCTTGTTTGTTTATAAGTTATTATTATTTTATTTAACATGCTTGAGACATGAACACCTTAAGAGCGTGATACAAATATAAATAGATCACGGACCCAAACTGACGCCATAAAATCATACAGGGCGCCGGCACAGGCACGCGGAACTAGTGGGCCATCCCCGTCAGTTTCATGTCTCTACTCTTCACTACCTCCATCCGTCTTGCCAAATCTACTACAGTACATATTGTGAGGGATAAAATCCTCGTTACCTTTTTTTCTTTTTTTTTTTTTGGATAATGGGTAATTATTTTGTATCTTCCATTTAAGTTTATAAAAAATGTATACATGTATCCAAATGTGCTCAAAATTGTAACTCTAACGGTAAAATTTATGCCAATTTGTATATTTAGATTCATAGTTAATTTTGAATTGAACATGGATAAGTAAGTAACCAAAAACTAGATGACAAATTACCATTATAGAAAGAAAAATCATCTCAATTAGAGTTATTACAGTAAAATTATGATATTTTAAAAAGATATAAACATTATTTTACATCACATTATACATGCATTAATATACCTACTATATATAACAATACTCAGTGAAAAATAACATGGTCAATATGAATCTTGTTTTGTTCGATTCATCCCTATGAACCCATAGAAAGAAAAATTGTCTCAATTTGAGATATAACGGTAAAGTTATATGACTTTTTTTATAAAAAAAACATTAAAATCGTTCTACATCATGTTATACTAGCAATATTATACCTACTGAATATGACAATGTTCAATGAAAAATAACATAGCCAATATAGATCTTGTTTTGTTTGGTTCATCGCTACGAACACATAAAAAGAAAAATCGTCTCAATATGAGATCTGATGGCAAAGTTATGACTTTTAAAAAAGATATAAACATCGTTTTACATCATGTTATACAGGAAATACTATACCTACCGAATATGACACTGCTTAGTGAAATGTAACATAGTCAATATAAAACTTGTATTGTTTGGTTTGTCTCTACAAACACGTAGAAAGAAAAATCGTCTCCATCAGAAATCTAAAGGTAAAGTTATGGACTTTTTTAAAAGATATAAACATTGTTTTACACCACATTATACAGGCAATACTATACCTACTGAATATGACAATGCTTAATAAAAAATAACATAGTCCATATGGATCTCGTTTTGCCGCTACTAGCACGTAGAAAGAAAAATTGTCTCAATAGGAGATCTAACGGAAGAGTTATGACTTTTTAAAAAGATATAAACATCATTCTAAATCACGTTATACAGAGAGTACTATACCTACTGAATATGATAATGCTCAGTGAAAAATAATATAGTCAATATGGATCTTGTTTTTTTGGTTCTCGCTATAAATACTTAGAAAGAAAAATCGTGTCCATCAGAGATTTAAAGACAAAGTTATGGACTTTTTAAAAAAAATATAAATATCTTTCTACATCACGTTATACAGGCAGTACTATACCTACCGAATATGACAATGCTCAACGAAAAATAACATAGTCAATATGGATCTTGTTTTGTTCTATTTGTCCCTACAAATACATAAAAAGAAAAATCACCTCAATCGAAGATATAACTTTATATAAAAAAAAATCGTCTCAATCGGAAATTTAACCACAAAGTTATGACCAAAAAAAAAAAAAAACGTTCTGTCACGATTCAAATACTTCAACAAAAACAACCACTTAGTGACAAATATACAAATGTTATAGTGTTGTTTTGGTAAAGATGCAATTGCAAGATCCGTTCATTTCACCGATTCAACTTTTGTTACAGTAAAAAATTCTCAGAAACAGTCACATCTAACTTTTTTGCTACAGTAAAAAGTTCTCACATAAAATCACATCTCAACTCAAATTAAAAACTCGAATCAACGAGTTCAAATATATGCTAAAATCCCTATTAAAATTACTTCCGACACATATCCCACGTAAATTATTTACTGCTACACCAACCGGTTCACACAGTCCAGGTATACAATGCTTCATCTGAGACCCTCCAGTGTCAGCATATTACAGTTCTGACCACTTGCATGCCGCAGCGAATAACAATTGACCACGTCCGGCCGAACGGAAACAACGGCCGGACCGTATCAAGGCCGAATATTATACACATTTGTATATACACACACACATATAATATACGGCTCTTCTAATATTTATTTATATCTTTCTAGGCTATATGTCTTTGTAACATGCATAAGATAGAAGCTTATTTGATTAAATCATTGGTTTACATGAGTTTACACACAGGCATACGACAAAAAACAGATTCAAACCACAGAGAGAGATAGAAAAAACTACGCATGCATGCATAAACACACATGAACAAACACTCCAAACAACGGGCATTACAAAATTCAGCCACTTTCTTCAAACCTCAAATCCTTCATAGAAAAAATATAACCACAAATGGATTCACGCAGCTAAATTATTTCAGCCAGTGCTTTCTTGTAAGCTCAAGACCTTTTCAGCAACTTGGGACAGTGCATTATAGGAAGTTCCGCCAAACGACAAAGCTCTCTCCCCACTCTCTTTAAGCTTCTTGACTCTATCCCTTATTGCAAAAGCTTCTTTGTCCGCCAAGATCTTCCTCACCATAACCTCAATCTCCTCCCTCCCCACCACCCCCTTCGCCGGAAACTCCCTCGGCCTCACCGCCACGCCGAGCTCCTCCGTCAGTATCGTCGAGTTAATCTTCTGCTCGGCGTAGAGCGGCCAAGCGATCATCGGAACCGCATTAGTAACACTCTCAAGGGTGGAGTTCCAACCGCAATGAGACAAGAAACCACCAACAGAAGGGTGTTTCAAAATCTCCATTTGTGGGGCCCATCCTGGAAGCACCTGGCCCACGTCACGAGTCCTGGCCAAGAACCCCTTGGGAAGAAAATAAAACGGCTCGTCGCTTTTTCCTTTCCCATTGTCGTTGCTTTCCACGGGGGAAAAATATGCGGATTCAGCGGAACCTGAGGTGGGCGGGCGCACCACCCAAATAAACCTCTGCTGGCTGAGCTCCAACCCCCAAGCCACCTCTGTTGTTTGCTCGTACGACAACTTCCCTCCACTCCCAAACGACACGAAAATGACAGACTCGGCCGGCTGTTTATCGAGCCACTCGAAAATCGGACCGGAAGAAGACACGGCCGGATCCCAAGTCAACGGTCCAACCAGGTAAATGGGCTTCTTAGCAAACCGGCCTATAAGATTCTCATCCCTCATCGATTTAAGCCTCGACGACTCTGCTTCTTCCCACGTGTTCAACAAAATCCCGTCAGCTATGGGCATCTGAAGACCCACTCGTACCATCTCATGATACTGCTGATTGGAGCGGTCCCGCATGGGGTCAATGACCTCATCCGGTCGAACCGGTCTGCTACCCGGAATCTGAAAATCGCTCGTCTGGTCAACGTACTCTCCTTTGATAAGCTTGTCCAGAGTCGGAAGGTAAAGGACGAGAGAAGTAAACAAAGCGTTTGTGGCTATATAAATGTACTTGCTCGGAATTCCAAGCTCCTCGGCGAGACACAGACAGTCGGTTCCGAAGAGGTCAACGACGAGTACTGAAGGTTTGACTTTCATGCCGGAGATGGCGGAGCTGATGACGGACTTTGCTTCGCGCATGGTGACGGCGCAGATGGTGACCATGGCGGCGTCGGGAGGGGCGACGTGGGAGACGCTGATTGGTGGGAGGTCGATGACGTGGCAGTGTGGGGAGTTTAGTGCGGGTGTAGTTTGGCCGGATTTGGTGACGTTGAAGATGGTGACGGCGAATTTGTGGTGGAGGGCGAGGCGGTTTCCGAGCTCGAGGATCGGAACTAGGTGGCCCATGCCGGGGCTAGAGAGGAGGACTGCGTGTGCTCTCGAGGTTTCCATGAAAACTGGAAGTCAAGAGAGTGACTATGAATGAGCGGAATAGTTAGAGACTTACCGATGAATGGAATGGAATGGCATGCGCAGTATTTATTCTTGAGCTGCATGCAAGAAAGTAAGTTTACCATAATAACAGGTCCCTTAAAAAAGAAGTCTAAATCTTAAATTTTAACAACTAGAAAATATTAATGTTATTTTTTAAGAAAAATTTCATTTTGCTATTGTTATATTAAAATTTAAGTTTGATATCATCTGTTTCTAAAAATTTCATTACAGTACCTTGACTTTTTAAAAAACTTTTTTAATTCGAAGCCAATACAAAAAGGCAAAATTGTCCTTAGTATAAAATTCATCTATTAACTTAAATTTTGAATTAAAAAAAGGATTTTAAATGAGGTTCTTAAAACACAACAAAATCATGTTATTAACACAAGCACTAAAAGGAAAAAAAATGGTGAAAAAAGGGAAACAAAAAGTTTCTATTTTACACTAATTGAAAAAAATAAAAAAAAAATGAAAAAAATGAACCTCATTTTTACACTAACCCCAAACTAAACAGAATATAAAAGCAAAAATATATGCACACAACGTCCAAAAAAATTCTTATCAACAGATAAATTTTTACAATAAGGATAATTTTGTGTCCTAAAAAATGACTTTGAGGTACTAAAAAAATATTTTCTAAAAGGTCGAGGTACTGGCATGAAATTTTTAAAAACAGAGAGTACCAAAATTAAATTTCGATATAACAGAGGGTAAAAAATAAAATTTTTCCTACCTTTTATGTTAAATATGACATATACTGTGATGCTAAATTTGACAGCAAATGTGTTCACGTTTTATTTAATCGTTACAATACTGTCATTTTAAATTTTTTTGAAAGGCATTTTTAATTTATTTTAAAGTTAACCTTAACAATTTACTTTCACAAGTTACAAAACCAGATCATGATGACCAAATATATGTATATATATAGCATTTAAAAGAGGTAAGTATTGGAGCAAAAACATATCTACATCATCGCTTTATATTGAAAGAGTTGAAGTTGGCTTCACTGTACACTTTTGTCGTCCAAAATGCACGTTCTTTTTTTTTTGGTTTTGATGTGGTTTTTTTTTTTTTTGGGTTTTCAATGTTCTTTTTTTTTTAAGGATTCAATGTTTTTTTTCTCTAAAATTTTATATTTTTCATACTTACCGTGATCTATTTAACTTTTTTTTTGAACGATTAACTTTTTTCTTTTATTTATCACAATTAAATTTTTTTCAAATGTTATACTACTTACATATTTCTTTGTGGTAGTGCTTTAAATTTCTTTGATGTCGTCCAAAATGCACGTTCTTAAAATATTGTTACTAAAATAAATTTTTAAAAATACTATATATTAATAGAGTTGAAGTTGGTTTTACTGTGCACTTTCGTCGTCCAAAACGCACGTTTTGTTTTGTTTTTGTTTTTACTTTACTTTTGATAGTTTTTTTGTGCTTTCAATGTTCTCCCTTTTTTTAAGGACTTTACGGTGCGTTTGGAATTGGTTCCAAAATATTGATAGTTTTTTTGTGCTTTCAATGTTCTCCCTTTTTTTAAGGACTTTATGGGTGCGTTTGGAATTGGTTCCAAAATGTTTTTATTTTTTTATATAAAAATGAAAACGAAAACATTTTTATTTTTATTTTTGAATCATTTCTAAAAATGCGTTTGATAATTTTATTCTGAGATTGTTTTCAGTTTAAAAAAATTGAAATTGTGTTTGGTAGTGTAATTTTTAAAAACATGTAATAATATTTAAATTAATAATATATTAAATAAATAATAATATTAAATATATTAAATAATAATATATTAAATAAATTTATTGGGGCAGTCGCAGATGGTCAGAGTTGAGGAGAGAAAATGAAAACAGAAATAATCTGTTTTCAGATTTTCAAAAAAAGATAAGATCGTTTTTGTTTTTAAATTTTAGAAAATTTTACGCCAAACGTATTTTCATTACACATTTTCGTTTTTTATTCTCAAAAACTGTGAAAAATGGAAACAGAAACGGAAACAAACAGGCCCTGTGTTTTCTTTTTTCCTTTTTCCTTTCTTCCCTAAAATTTTATATTTTTTATACTTACCATTCTTTTTAATTTTTTTAAAGGATTAAATTTTTTCAATCTTTCATTTATCCCAATTATTTTTTTTAAAATTTTATTCTACTTAGAATTTTTTTTTTTTTGTTTTTTTTGTTTTTTTTTTTTTTGCGATAGTGGTCTAAAATATTGTTATATTAAAAGTTATTCTCACAAATATCTTTCTAATTGTCCCACTAAAATAAATTTCTAAAAATATGCCCCTACTTAAATTTTTTTCACGGCCTACCCTTAAAATAAAATAAAAATGATGTGTTCCTTTCTCTCTTTTCTTCGCTTCTTTTATCTTTTCTTTTGACTCTTTTATTTTTTTCTTTTTTTTCCAAAACCTTTTTGGTGCTTTTTTTTTAACTTTTTAAATTTCTTTCTTTTTATTTCCATATATATTAAAACCTAATGCTCAATATATAAAAGAGTAGATATTTGGTTGTTGTTCATTCTATAGTAGTCCGAAACGGTGCTTTATTTTTTTCCTTTTATTTTCAAGTTTTGACTCCTTTATTTTTTTTTGTTATGTCATAATTTATGTTCATCCTATAATGGTTCAAAACGGTAAGTCTACCACTTAATGTATACTCTTTTTTAATCTTTTAAGTAAAAGTTTCTGCCTATTTTTTCCCTACTTATTGTTGTTTGTATAATACGTTATAAAAATTTCAATTATAACTAAACACGTGCATCACACGTATCAAAATTAGTATAATAAAAGAGCTGAAGTTTGACACTTTGTCGTCCAAACCGCACTATTTTGGTGCGGTTGGCTTTTTTTATTTCTTTTTTTTTTTTTTGCTTTTATTTTATTTTCTTTTATACTATTTTGTACCCCTTTTTTTCTTTCTTTCTTTTGCTTTGCTTTACTTTATATTTCTTTTCCCCTTTTCTTTCTCCATTTATCTACTCGTGTAGTCTCTTACCCTTGATCCACTTAAATCTTTATTTAACTCCAATGGTTTCACGTTTTTTTTTTTTAACTGTATTTATCTACCACTGTATTTTACAAATGATGTCTTACATTTTTTTTTCCCCTCTTTTCGTGTTTTACTTTTTTCTTTCCTTTCTTTCTTGTTCACTTCACTCATCTATGTAGTCTCTCAATCTCAACGTGTCACTAGATAATGCATATCTTCATAAGTTATTTATGCTAATGCATATCTTTATTTTCTATTCCTGTAGCTTTTTAGTTGTCTAAAACGCACAGCTTCGATACTCCTTTTTGTTTTTGTTTTTGTTTTTTACTTTTTATTTTTGTTCTTTACTTTTACTGCTTTTCCTACATATATAAAAGAGTTTATGTTGGCTTCACTGTGCATTTTCATCGCCTACAACGAACAGTTTTGGTGCTTTGGCTTTTATTATTTTTCTTTTTCTTTGTTTAACTTTTTTCCTTTTTACTAATCTTTTTTTCTTTTTACTTTTTTCTTTTGCTTTATTTTTTATTTTTTTTTCTTTGTCTTTTGGCTCGATTTATCTACCATGGTCTCTTCAAACCGTTTAAATGTTTCTTTCTTTTTAACTTCACCATTTTTATATTTACCTTCTTCTTTTAACTCTATTTATCTGATATTGTCTTCTAAAAACGGTGGTTTAGCTTTGTCCATTAATCCATCGTAGTCTGTAATCCTCAATATTCTTCAACCTTTTTTATTTTTGTTGTTCTAATTTATTCTCTCAATTTAAAGCTTATCTCTGATCTCTTTCTCTAGCTTTCTTAAACTTTAAATCTTAACTTTTTCACCATATCAATTACTCGTGATCTCTATTTTGACCGTTTATTGCGCTAAGATTTTCTATTCCTTTCATAGTCAATTGTTCTCTTTTTTTTTTCTTTTTTTTTTTTTTTTTTTTTTTT